GTATGACAGTCCATTTATTTTTTAATCTAGGCGGTGGTTCGAAACACGTTCTCTAACGGAAAGTGGGAAAAGGAAGAGCGAGATTTGCGCATTTTCCCGTTTCTGCCTAACGGTACCTTCGACATGGTCATTCTTTGTCAAAAAGACGGCTATAAGGTGCGTATCGTATCGAAAAGCGATCGCCTGTCCGCATGTGTTGTGTTCAACATGGGTAATGTTGAATGAATTAATAGTACGATGAGGAAAACGCACTTTCATTCCACGTAATATATGTAATGCATCGATGCAGTGGTAGTACGATCGAACACGACCAAATCGTATGGTCTTCTTCACGGTAAATCTACCGCTTGATCAAGCAGCGATAACATCACTCTATGATCGAAATGGTGACGGTCGGAAAAATGTTGCAGTGGTGTTCGATCTTACTATCATAGCGTCAAAAACAAATTTATTTATGATTGTCGTTTACTTGCTAATTTATTATTTATTACATTACGAATATTAAACGGTGTTTGCACGCCGGTGTACATCAAATAACATATTGCAGCAAAAATGCGGAACAGTGTGTCGTGAAATCTGGTCTTAAAGAGCTTATGCATTATTTGACATACTCCGGTGTAAGAACATGCTTTAATCTTTATACGGCAGCAAATAAGGGGTATCAGTTCCTAAAACGTAATGAGCGCGAGGCGCTCTAGCGAACGAAGTGATGCTAGATGCACTTGGTGCCGCAGATGCTCATATATCATGGAGCCGTAGCTTGCTTAAATACCCTTTAGGTTGCTTGGTGGCACATTTCGTCAGAGGTTAGTTGAACTCTAGAGGTGTCGAGTTCGATTCCCGCTGTGGAAATCTTTGTCTTGGCACGAATTTTGTTGATTTAACGTCAGGGATTTAACCGCACGGATTTAACAGGACAACCGCAAGGATTTAACCACACTTTGGTTCAGACCATGATTGTTCGGCCGGTAGAATGTCGGATTTCAGAGCTGAAAAGTCCTGTATTTGAACCTCGGTTGGGATCACTCATCATTCTTTCTTCTGATAAATGAGTACCACGCTGATAAATGAGTGAGAAGGAAACAGGAGAATACAAATTGTGCTTGTTACTGCTGCTGTCGATTCTGCGTTTACTGGCGGCACTACTAACCGATGACATATAAATAAGGATCAGCGCACATACGGTTAACTTCATGTAAGCAAAGGTGCCTAAATTGGCCCCATCATGTAAGTTTGAGGAAATCGACATTTCAACGGTTGCAAACTTCGTTCCTTTTTAAATGCCCCCTCCTAGGCGGCTAGGAAATGCTGTGGTGCACTGTGCCGTAAAATCTGGCCTTAGAGAGTTATGCATTAAGTAGTAGTCTATTCAAGTTACGCACACTCAAATGCACAGTAACGTTTCACAACCAGTAATGACACTGCACGTGAAATCCATTTCCAGGATATAGCCTCCTGGCTGATTAAGCCTACAGTTTCGAGGTCAGTACGCTTCAACAACGAAGAACGAATGAAGAACAAATGCCTCTTAAAATTACAGTAGTTCTGTCTCATCGGACTCATTCGAACTTTTTTTTCATTAGAGACATTTCGCACATGTTTTAATAATCATCTGCTTTGTTGCTGAAAGAATCCATTTAGCCCTTTGTTTAAACAAAAATATACTTTATTTTTTTATCAATGCTACATATGGAATGAGGTAATTCCGCTGAAGAACAATTTTATAACTTAATAAGCTTGAACTTTTACCATCTACGGTTCGCTCAGTAAAACATGATTGATTTCTGCCGTTTCACTGTAAAGCAGTAGATCACGGTAGTGTGGAGAGGTTGAGCGAGCTTGCTTCTTACACACTGCTCACTGATTTTGGCATTCGCTCACCTGTACACATATGCCAGATTTTCTGTAAAATCATGTGTTCTTAGAAACATGTAGGTTGCTTTTGCTGTTTTTAAGGAATCAGAGACATGCCACATGGCGCTGGCCATTCTCCAGAAGTTGAATCAGGACTTTATTAATTAGTCTTAAACTAACTGTTTATGTTAATGATTGCTAATAATAATGACTGTTTTGTGGCATATGTTAATTGCCTTACTGATAATAGTGATAAGACTAATTCTATATGGATAGAGGCATAGTCGTAGGTGCTCGAACATGTCTTTATTCTATCCATGCATGGCAGGTGCCAAAATGCGATGGAGCTGTGGCCTGCTTAAACAGTACCCTAGGCTACTTGAAGCGAGTGGACGATGTGCTACGCAGTGTGGATCCAAGGAAATTACAGGATATTATTATTGTTAAGGAAATAAATTTATCTCTTCAACTTTGAACACGGATGTACTAAAGTCGAATCCAATTTAATATATTGTGCTAATGCATGTATTCCTCCTTTTGTATATCATATTTGCGTTTTATTTTCATAGTTCGATTCACTGTAATTTTTCAGAATTTACAGGGCGTAATCACACCTTCTCCTAGTCCCTGGTAACCTTGAAGACCAATTAAGCTGGTTACGGCTTCAGGGTGTTTCTGCACCTGCAGTGCATAGGCGCAAAACTGCACCATTTGTTGGGCCAAACAAAACGATGTTTGATTCTGTCGCAGGTTTCGAATTTTTTAGATGCTGTGCATATAAGTTTAGCTGGTTTTTCCATCATATAAGTCTAGCTGAGTGTTCATAGACTCAAACTCGCAGCTAAACATCTGTTGATAACCACGTTCATTTAAGGTTTCCGTTAATGGTCAGTTCTTATACAAGTTTGATCATCGTATGGAATACAAGGGTGTCGACGCATTGGAGATCGCCGGAGATGTGAAAGTTCTGTTCGTCGACGTTAGGTGAAGATCTTTATGGCATAAACTAGGTGTACGGTACGATAAAGTTTTACTTAACTTTCTACGCTTATATCGCATTGTCAGATGTTCCTTTTCCCAGGTTGATATGATTAAGGCTTTAATGTTCGGTAGGATGTTCACTGAAACACATTAGCATTTCTTAACCAATGTGATCGTTTCATTGTTCGTTGTTTTCTTCATTGTTTGACTAAGTGATTCATTCATTTTTTCGTTCAATCATTCATTCGTTCGTTTACTCTCTTATTCTGACATTAGTTCGTTTTAAAGCCATTGTGAAGAATACGAAAAAAAATCATCACCATGCAAATGACAAGTAACCGCGAGACAGTGGAAGATTCGAAAGTTGCTGAAGCATAGGCATTGTCAAAACAGCGCGTAAACTTTCGTGGAAGGTTCATTTATGAGACATTTTTAATTCTCTGTCGTTTTTACCTTTCCTCAATCGGTGTTCAGTAAAATCTCTGTTTTCAGATTGAGAATCCTTTACCAACATTTCGGTATTTATCTCATGCTCGTTAAGAATAAGATAGAGTTTACTCTGTAAAGGATCATGCAGAAACCAGACTGAAGTTTTTGGCTTATATTCTGTACAGTCATTCTCTCACCCATTCATTCATTCACCGCAAAAACTGTCAAGCAGTTTATTTTCAAGTTTGCAACGACGCGTTATCGGTCAGTGTTCTGTAATCCACTTTAGCAGTCTCGGAGGCAACGAAATTTTTATTTAGTTAGCATTATTATTGTTAGTGAATAAGTTTGACATTTTTTTCAAACTTTGGGTTCTAATATCCCCGACCTATTGTCCGTCATTGGCAAGAAAAATCGCCATATCTGACGGTATGTCAAAGCTACCAACAGGCTAGATTGTAATGTTAGTCTGCAAGCTAAAAGAGGTAGGTTCGAATTTCAGTCTGGTAGATAAATGAGTGGCACTTAATGGGAAGAATGCAAGAAAATATAAGCTGAAAATTTTTCCAGTCAGTCGCTGCCTTTGACGGTAGCACTTATGGCTGGCAAACCGTAAGAGAAAACAGTACCC